TTGCAGTCTAGCCTTGATATGGGGATGTTTTTAAGAAGAAGCCACTTTTTCATCATTATCGAAAAGAAAACCAACAAAAACCTTTGACAAATTATGCTTACGGTAATTTAACATTGGTATGAACTAGGGAACTAATTATAACGCAGGTCGGAAACAGGGTTTTGATTTAAGGGTTAAGTCATTAATAGGGTTTCGAATTTTTGGTCAGGTCATAAATAGGGTTGGGAATATTGCAGATTTTGGTCATAAATAAGGTAAGGGTTTTGGGAAGCGGGCCACACACCCCCACCCGATTTTTCCGGGGGTAGCCCCCCCGGGAGTCCATGTCTAGAGCATAACACGGCTTGCAGCGCACTTGTGTTTAACTTTAGAGTATGAGATATAGCTGTAGGAGAGTGAGATCTGCCGCACGTGAACTGCACGTGCCGGAATGTGTAGATGGCAAGAGACTACAGACCATGTTTGAAATCCCCTGGGGACGTAGCTAGACAAAAATTATGACTGAGACAAATGTCTATGGTTTAAATTCTCTTCCAAATATTTAGCAGTGTTTTACATTCCTCCTCCAAAAAAACAACAACAAAAAAGAAAAAAAATGACTAAGACAAATGCCTAGGTTTGCCTCATATTGGCTTCAACCCTTTTGGTGTTATCTTTCCACCAATTTTGTATTTATTGTTACTTTTTTTGTAGGGATGCGTTATTTATAAACAGAATAAAGATTAATCAATTTTAGATCCTCCAGGTGCGCTTGCTGAAGTTAGCTCCACCTCTCACTGAAAAGTCCCATCGGGGAAGTGTCAGTATACTATTGTTTGTGTTTTGATTTTGTTCAGGCAAGAGACCATAATCTCTTGGTTCATGCTAGCAAACAATTTTGTAACCTAACGAAAACCACTAATGCATAACACCACGATACTAACCGGGCTTGCCTCACCAAAATGTTTCTTTTGCATAAATGGTCAAAATAGGTCACATGACACCACCCCACAGGACTAATTGAAATCCCAAGAAACTTTATGCGGCATAACAATTAGCAAGTGATATAGCGTCATATTCAAGGTCAAGGTTTTGAATCGTGCGCGGTTGGTTTTTTAAGAAATATTTTTTTGCTGCATAACGACTGTAGAAACATTCTTGAAACCCTTAGCTTCAAGATTGTCCTTCGAGTCTCATGATCGCCCCCGAAAGTTTTTTTTTACGAGAAATAATTCGTTTTATCGGACGTCTTACAATGCAACAGCCCTTATCCTAGGAGATCCCGAGGCAGGAAGCTGGCGCAGAAAGAAGAGGACCTGGCAAAACTTGAAGCGAAGAACAGTGTCAAGGGCAGCTGAAAGAGTTCTTTTCGCCCAAGGTTTTCTAAAACTTCGTCATTACGGGTTCACTTGGTCTCGAATCAGCGAACTACCCCTTGGTCTCCGAAGAAGAACGGCCTCCAGTATTTGTGTTAATGTTAACCTGAAGGGTACAGTGTTCTTATACACTGAACACAAACTTGATAACAACCCTAAATCGATAACGTGATCCGGAGCCCAGAAGCTGATCAGGATACTATTAAAGGCCAAGGAGCCGTGAGTTGAATCTGAATTCGGAATTGCCTGCAGATACCTCGGCCCGGAGGAATACACAACCAATTTAATCGAATATATTTTACTTATCGTCTTCACTATTATATATGTATCTACAGCGTTTACAGAGAGTAAATTTCTTTTTAAAGACGTTTTCATCTAAGTTAATTTATTGTCAATACTCGTATACTTAACTCAAAAAGTACAGATTCCTCGAGACTTACTGGATATGTGCAAAATCTCAACCTCACATTTATAATTTTGTTAAGTGTGGCAAAGAAAGGGTAGAGAAAAATCTGCTTTTATCAACGGCAAATAAAAGAAGACATTTTCTGCGTATTTTTCTTCGCAATATCGGGAGCTTGAAAGAAAACAAAAAGAAACTAATTCAGCAGGTGGAGAAGCTGATGAAGTGATTGTGATGACTAACAATGGTCTGTTCTGTGACAGAACCACACGGGGTGTCCAAACCTTTATTACTCAATTATTATCTGAATAAAGTGTTTTGTCAACCATCAACATAACTGAGAGGTTTCAAGCCAAGATTGCAGCGAAATGATTGGCTCTTGTCGAGGTAAGATTCGTTTTAGATCGTGCGGCGCTTGTGGCACTAATTGATAAAGAGTGTTGTGTGTTCATATCGCGTCCAACAGATCGAAACACAGGGGAACGCAAGAACATAATGGAAGCGATCTTTTTATAAAAATTGTGGTTCTCTGTTTTGCCATCTCTGCATTTACGATTAACCTAATCAAGTCGGCAATGTTTATGCTGCACACAGTAAACACGTTTTGCAAAACAA